ATATAATAAATATATAAAAATAAAGCGGAAATTTTTAGTGAATAATATTATAATATAATATAATTGTGGCACGGTGTTTACATTCTGTCAAGAAACGTGTTCTGGGTGTACGCACCGGCCGGTGTCACTATAATAATTCCCATATATAGGTGACCACCCGGAGTCTGAATGTCAAATCCTTGCCTCACATACGTGTCTCCAAACCAACCACACCCTCCCTCCCCCCCCCAAAAAAAAACAGGCTAATGACCTCAGTTTTCAAAGCCTCAAATCAAAAAATAACAAAACGCCTTAACATTCCTCTCAATACCTTCTCCCTATCCTAATTCCTGTAATACTAAACCTGCCATATGGTGGCTGGCATAAGTGGATAATCCCATAGGGAAAAAGGGATTTAAGTTCATGTTTATATCAGTGAGCCCCCCTCGGTTCTAATTTTTTTTGTATAATACAATAAATTCACCAAATAAGTATTATTAAAAGTATAAATTATTATTACTACTGTTTTTAACAATATGATAATCCACAACATAGCAACAATTTGCTTGCAGAAGTTTAAGGGTCACTATACTGCCGTCAATTTTAGATCAAAAGACCGTAAGTTTTGACAAAGTTTAAGTTAGTTTACGTTGTCAGATTTTGATTCTGAAACAAATTTGAACTCGACAAAAAAAATTGTGTATAGATCGTATAGAATACTTTGTAAAAAAATAACTCTTATATTATTGTTCACTGTAAATGAAAACTTGAACATAAGAATTTTTCAAATCATATTTAAAATTAAAAACGAAAAGTGTTTCTTACGATTTACAGACATTTTTCTGTTGAATTCAAATATTTTTTCAGAATCAATTTTGTCAAAACAATAAGCAAGTTGTCGTAAAATGTGTACAATCTTTTGGGGTGAATAGGAACTACGGGGCGTATCGGAACAAAATGAGAAAAAATTGTTTCGAATTGATAACACTGTTGCAAAAGTTAAAAAAATATTTATGATAACACCGGCACTTTGTTTCAAACAACATTTAGGTGATATTGACTATATCGCATTTGGTGTAGTACCATTTTGTTAACACTGATAAGCTATTATCATAATCATTTTTTTTTTTGTGAAATTGAAGTACACGAAAAACTTCTCCAGAAAATCATACACGGAGTTGAGATAAGCAATTGTTACAATTATTAAAAGTTAATAGACGTAAATTAATAATATTTTGTTCAATCACAATGGAATTCAAAATATTTTTCGAGTAGAAAATATGCTTCCAAGTTCAATACTACTAATCTGTGTCATAAATGGGGTGAACAGGAACACTCGAAAATATTAACAAATTTCAATACCTACCACATTTATTTAAAATGTCTGTTACCTACCTATATAATTGCTGTAGACTAAGTGCATAACAAAAATAATTTAATATGTTATTATATTTATAAAGTTTAAATAAATGAAAACTCATGCAATTTGTTTTAATTTGTTTTTTATTAATTATGTAGGTATTTTTATAAAAACTTTTTTGAAATTAATAAGGTAGGTATATTCTATAACCTTTTTTAAAAAATAAAATGTGTTCCTATCTACCTACAGTTGATCTGAATAAGAAAATTTGAGAAAATTTTACCTATGTTCCGGTTCACCCCATCAACGTGGAAATAGGAACACGTTTTTGAAAAAAAAAATATAAAAAAAACTACTAGTCCTAAACTAAAAATTCTACATTACAATAACGAGTCGGTATGTAGTCTATCCAAAACACTTTTCAGAAAAACTCAATCTAAACAAATGGCATTTTTATAATCAAATAACCTCTAAAATCGTTCCTATTCACCCCATTTTACTGAATATACTGAATGCATATGAGTGCCATAGAGTTATCTCGAGTAAATAATATGTAATATAATTATATATATATATATATTACTCTATGATGCCTGCAAGTATGAGAGCGGTTCCAGCATTAATTTCACTCTCACTAATAATCATTTACAACTAACACATCCAGGCTAAGATGAGTTTAGAAATTGCCTAAATGTTGCGCCTTAAATTAAATATTATACATTTGTATTGTTAATCGAAGACATAAATATCTGACTGACCGCCGAACGCGAACACCACACACGTATTTATATTCTGATATTAAACGCAAATATGTCGGAAATGATTGGGTATTTAATATCTAAATTTGAAATTTGAATTAATTTACAACCCCCCTTCGAAATCGCAATATTTTAAACTACGCATTTCGTTTAAGATTTATTCCTAATAGGTATATTGCATACATGCGGTGGCCTAAACTGGGGGTTGCAAGGGGTCACCCATGCAACCCCTGAAAATATCATATGGTCGAGGTCGCAAGAGTATCTTTTCACGACTCCAAAAAATTACGATTTCAGTTTTCAATATATTATTAAACGATTTTTTTAACTGTGCACCATTATAAATATTGTACAGTTTATAATAATCATTCATACATATGCTTAGCCCATGTATGTGTGATTTGATTTTATCGTTTCTATTTCAGAGAGCAAAAAGAAAAATTAAAATGTTGGTTAATCTTTAGCTCCCACTGTACACCGCAACTCCGCATAACAATTCAAAACAGCAAAATATTTAGATTAGTATAATCTAATTTTCTTTGGTCATACGTAATAGTATTATTTCCCAAATTTACAAATCATAGATTTTATTTAAACAATAAAAACACTTTTAGTTTTGTTAGTTTTTAAATTGAATTTTCTAATGAAAAAACCCTTAAATCCTAATTTAAAACCATTATTACAATTAGTGTAATTACATTAAAAAAAAAACAAGGTAAGTACAATAATTTCTGCAAACAGAAGTAAAAGCATGAGCTGCTGGGTTAACTAAAACTGCTTAAAATTTAAATACACAGGAATCATTAGTATATGATTCATTATTAAATATTTAGGAACTTTACTAATTTAATCTATACTGTTTTGGCATAACCGTGATTTAATATACTTGTGGGTATAACAATATTAGGCATAACAAACATTTTAAATATTCAAATGTTAAACATGTTTCACAATGTGAAATTTTTTTAATAAAATATTAAATAGTATTTTTATAATACCTACCTTATGCGCAACAATAATTAATTAGATAGGTGGGTATTTTAGTTAGGATATAATTAATTATGTATTATACGTAGTGGTATTCAGTGGCGGCTCGCAAGTAAATTCATTGGGGAGACTGAAAATTTAATAATAAAAAAAAATGAACCCAAAAAAGATAAAAAAAAACCTTTTTTTATTATTATAATTGATAGCTTTATAAAAATTATAAGAATAGATAATTATTAAATAATTATAATAATTTAATTACTAGGTACACGCTGCTATACAATGTCAAATAGCTAAGTTTAATAGTCTAATACGGACGCACGACACGCTGCAGTTTTCGTGTTTACAGAAAAATACGTGACGACCGCAATGCGAACGGCAAAAACTTTGAATGAGTCTAGTCTCAATGTACTGAATAACATCTATACAATCTATCCCCGTCCTCCGCCTTGTCATGCATATCAGCATATGCAATTTGATTATATTACATAATTGAGTCTTTCGGACGGCAGACTCTCGAACTAACGACCGTCGTCGTCGTCGCCGTCGTCGTCTTTATCGATATATTTAGCCTGTATTGTTATCGATATATTTTTATATTGTATTGTTATTGAATGACACTCATTATTAATGTAAAAATATAATACAAAATATTATCAATATTAATATCGAAAACCATGATAATTATTTTCAGAATGGATATAACATAAAAATATTAAATTATAATACAATTTACTTCAAACTTTTTTATTGCGTTACTACTTTTTATTTTTATGGGGAGTCGCCGTCTCAAAGACTCCCCTGACGAGCCGCCACTGGTGGTATTGCTTTTTATGTTTCAATATATTATATTATGAATATTAAATTGTTATAAAAAATAAAGTATTTAAAGAGGCTCAGTAATTAAATAACAGCATACTGTTTTTAATAAAAAAAAAAGTTAGTAGTGGTTTAGCCGATATTTCGTTTAAATTTGTGATGTAATATCAGAAAATATTTTACAGTAATTAGGTACTATAAAAGTATAAAATGGATAATATACACTTTGGCTCTTTTTTCTTTAAGTATGTCAGAGAATATCAGAGAATATTGGAAGAAATTATATAGTAACTCTCTTCTTAAAGTGGATATTTTAAGTTTTTTCCTCTTTTGATAAAACAGATTCAGCTTCAAAAAACAATTAAGACAACATAATTTTGGAAAATCATTAACCAACGCATTTTTACAGATGATAAGTTGATTAAAGTCAAAAACACTTTATATGATTCCTAAAAAGAAATGCTTATCGATCATCTGGATTAATACAATTATAATACCATCGCGTTGAACTAATTAATAAATCGTCTAGCGCGTGCTACCATAATAATAATATTATTGCTTGTAATATACGTCATGTTTGCCGCTTAAGTGAAATCGATTCGTACCGAACGATTCGATCAGACAACAAAACGTACACACTGCACACATTAATATAGTAATATTATCAGACCTATTATTATTATTATCATCGGTTAAGCGGACGTGCAAAGCAGCCGTGGTTAAGCCTAATCCGGTATTGCGCGATTGTTAATCCTGATCCGTCGACGCCGCAGCTTATAATTAGGTTAATGAAGAAATACATTTAAAAAACAATGAAATACAATAGTTGAGATTATTTTTTTATAATTTTCAAAACAGTATAATCGATTTAATAAATTAATATATAAAACTTATAAATATACGATTTTCACATGCAATAGCAAGCGAAATCTTGTGTGTAAGTGTACACGTAAAAACTAATAAACGCTCGTGTGAAACATAACATTATCACGATCGACATATTATTGTCAGACGTCGCACACGCGCGAAATAACAATATATTATTATTTTACTATAGTATTGTCATTTGTCATAATATAATATTATAGTCGGAGCCTTTACGCGTCGAGGAATTTGTTCAACTTGGTGCCGGACGGGTCGTAGATCTTGACGAGTCTAGCCCATTCGACCGGCTTCTTCGTCCTCAGGAAGTTCAGAGACTTCTTGATGGTGGTCATTTGCCTTTCGGTGCATCCGTTACAGCCGTTGTTGGCGATCACCGGAATGACTCCTGTACAACAGCGACAGGAAAGAAAGACAAAAACAACGGTTAATAAAATATGACTAGCAATAGTGAGAGCATAATAACCATAAAATCATACTAAGAATGTTTTCTGTATTATTTATATTACTCCACTCGGGGGATTTTGCCATTCGTATTCGACGGCTGTTCGTAGGTACGGCGCGAAATTATTAATTTTGACGAGGCAATGTGAGAACCGACGGAGAATAATATATTAATTATTTAGTTGTACCTATGCTATACCTAATAATAATCTCTCACGTAATTTTCGTACGATAAATCGTTTGCGGAATAATTTATAATATTATAACGTCGTAATATAATTGTTTACTCGTGGAGACGGCGATTGTTCGACTAATGATATCGCAATAATATTAATTTACATTTTTACATGAATGACCGATTGGGCGTAGGGTGATATAATATTATTATAAGTTATAACGACGTTACGCAACTATACGCGTATCAGATGTCTGTTTAGGGACACAATTTAATAGCGATAACTTATGCAAAAATTATCTAAGCACGAGGAAAACGATAATAATTAACGTAATATTATACGAACGTATATTTAATGAATGTCATAACAACGATAATAAATGTTGACAATTACTTGTCCGTCTGGTCGTCGTAAATGTTTGTGGTAACGAATAAAAACAATAATCGTTTCGCGCAACGAACTGACCGAGGTGGGATAACGGCTACAAAAAAAGGAACCACCGCGTTAAAGTCACAAAGGTACCTATACAAACCGAAACTTTCTAGGTAAACTTTCTTTTGGTTTTTACCAATTTTGGGGAAAAAAAGCATAAGATATATCGGTAGAAACAATATAGACTTAAAGTCTCGAACATATAAATCGTAACCGTCGTCAAAAAAACCGTTTTTCGCGGTTGGTAATTGAACTAGAAGGTCGGCTAAAAGACCAAATAAAACACATCATAATATAATATGAAATTATTTAGCAGTTATTCGCCGGTGCCTTTTTTTGTATAGGAAACATTTTTATAACTCAAATACACGATTTTTTTATTTCTTTTGTTTACTGGACGTTTATGGCATAAAGGTGGGTTCACAGTTACGCCATTGTCGTGTCGTGTCAAGTCGTGTTCAAAAGTAAAACTCAGTCTGACTCTGGAAATGTCATGATAGGTCGTATTATGGTTAGTAAACGACACCATGAAATACAAGACACACGACACGACAGACGACGGGGCTGCGAACTCACCTTTAACAGGTAGGTGCGGCGTAATAATATTATAGCAATAGTATAATGTTGTTAATCATATTAATATAACTAAATAATATCGTTTTGGTCACTCACTCTTCAGATCCCTGGACTGCTGGACACACGGACCCTCGTTGAGGAAACACTTGAGATGGCTGGCCAGGACGCGGTCGTTGTTCAGCACCTGTTCTACGTTGAGCTTGTCGAAACGTTTCATGTAGGCCGGGAAGTCCTTGATCTCGTCGTCGGCGGCGGTGGCGGTGGCCACACCGGCGGGGTTGGCCTGCGCGGCGTACACGGCCACGCAGCACAAAGCGATCAAGACCTTGCAGTTCATTGTTACTAAGGATGTGGGTGTTGTTGCGGGTGTTGTCGCGAACGGTGATGTGGAGGAGCGTATAGTGTGTTGTTATTGTGCGCTCGACAGAATGTGGCGGACGAGTGTTGACAGCCACGGCGGACCGCCTGGCTTTATATAGCGGCGCTTGGTACGTGCCGCAGTCCGGCGGCGGGGGCATATACCACGGTTACCGAGTCGGGTAGACAGATGGCTGAAAGCGGTGTCTGTTTTCTCCTGTACACCAGTAATCCATTATAGATAGGAAGGTAGGTAGGTAGGTAGATACGAGTATATTAATAATAATAAATTGTAGTTTATCATCGTATTATAATATAATATTATATTATGGATAATATATAATATTAATATTGCAACTAAGACCAAAGTCAAGGTCGTCTAGTTTTGAGCATCTACCACAACGACTACCGGAACGCGATGTTCATATTTTATACTTACATGGTATAATATAATAATAATATACTGATTATCTGAAAAGATACGTTGCACGTCCACGTAATATAATATAAGATATTATCGAGTATGATAATATTGTTATAAAAATCCAGAGTCATTATTATACATGATTAATTCAATATATAATACTTAGATTGTTGTATATATTAAATTTAATCAATGTTATTATATTACACCCCAAAGGTACTTTACATTGTCCTCTCTACCACCATGGACATTTTTCTTAAAAAAAACTACACAAATACATAATTAAAACATGTAGGTTACAATAATTATTGCATGACCATTTTCAGAATTTTCAGAATTTTGTTTACTAGTTACTTACGAAAAACCTTAGGAAGACTGGCATATGCGTTCGCCGTCATTTTACTATAGCCCCCTTCAAGTGAAATATGCTAATGGGTGCATGAGAAAAGGAGATCGTTCGAATTCTGAAGATGGTCGTGCAATTTAATGTTAATTATGTGCATTTTTTTTTAAGTTCAATGAGATCTGCAGTGAACCAACTACTGGTGATTATTGGGACGATACATTAGATACTCTCTTAGGGCCGCTTTCACCACTACTTTAAACTCCGATTAAAGTTAAACCGGGGTTTAATCGGCCGAATTTGCCTGGTTAAATATCTGTTATCAGTCGATTAAGCGTAATCGAAGTTTAAAGTATTTGGTGAAAGCGGCCCTTAACAAGCCCTCGAAACAACAACAGTATATTTGAATTTTCTATCTTAAAAATCCCTTATTTAAGAAATATTATGTTCCAGGATCACTTTTTCTATAGTATTGCAATTTTTAATATTATGAAAAGATTTTGAAAAAATCCATTAACGGCCTTCTAAAAAAGGACAGGTAACTTTTCAAATTAAAATTCGATTCAATAGGTACTATACTTATAAAATATTATATTTTATTTTAACTTGTTATTTATGAATATAAAATAACATTTATATAAATATATACATATACATATACATATACATATGCATATATAAATATATGTTGTTGGTAGATAAAGTTTATTATTTGAGGTAATGATTATGATACATTTTTATATTATTATGTTTACTGTTTAGTATACTTTCAACTTTTAGATATCAAATGAGTCTCAATGTCCAATATAAAAACCTTGTTCTGAGGCCACTCTGGATTTAAATGCAGTTTAAAATTGCCACAAAAGAGACTTCTAACTTCTAAGTTTTAGGCTATGGAGCAAAATAATTAGGTACACGTTTTTGATGCCCCGTGCACAAGTATAGGAATTAAGTAGGTACCCAGTTAAGACTTAAGATTCACTCTCCTGGCTTCCTGATTGAGTGATTCACAAAATGAATTTAAATCAAAGAAGTCGTTGTTAGACTTGTTAGAAGTACTTAGCATAGTTGTCAGTTTACCACAACGCATGCAGACAACCTTGTATTAGCCATTAGGTATATTGGTAAGACAATAATTCTGGTCCTGAAAAATATTAAGGTTTTCTTGATTAAAAATTTAGAAATTCTGTGAAATTCTCTCGATAGAATAGCTTATTAATCTCAAATTTTGTATTTCAGGGATAACTGATAAACGTATAAAAAATAAATATATTAAACTTAAAAATTTAGGCTTCCCCATTACAAGTGACATTTGGGCGTAATTAAGGGGGAATGAGGGGGATAGATCCCCCAAAGCCTTCATAATATTATATATTATATTATATACTCACGAATGTACTTGAAAATTTAATATTTTGTGTCTAAAAAAATGTATATCCCCCCTCCCCCAGGACAAATTCCTATTTACGCCACTGCTCTAGCAGTTTGCCTAGTTGAGCTACTGAATGAGTTCCCACAATTATAAACTATAAGATATTATAATTTATATTGTTTATATAGGTACTCTGAAAATGTACTTCCATCGTACCGTGTAATATTATTTGTCTAAATATTTTTTTTGTACGTAAGTACCAATTTTTTTCTAATGATTTTGGAGCGCCACGCTTGTCGGAATACTCGGAATGTTCTTGTCCTTTTCTGAAAACGTTAGGCATTTAGCATGTGATCCGTTGGTCCGATAAAAATAAAAACGTTCATGAAATACACTTTTTGTCCTATACTCTGTTCAACGAGAGACCACACAGATTCTGCGCATCCCCCAGCCACACACTACTATCGAAACCGGTTCTCCTATGGCATGGTGTTGCGTAGGGAACCAGTTTTAGTCGGTGCGCCGTGGGTTCTCTCGTTGAACAGAGTATAGTATTCGATATATTATAAAAGTCGGGGTTAATATAAATTATTATATACTATAGGACATAGGTAGTAAAATATGTTTCTAATTTTCTATTTATTTTTTTTCCGATTAAAATACAAACAATTTTAAACTTATGGTTATACACATCCCCTGTGTATACAATATGTTCATATTATACGCTTGTAATGGAAATGTAGAGTTCAACATTTACGTAACATTAAAAATTATCTATATATTATATAGTTATACAATACAATTTAGAATATTGAACACGTTTACATAAAATAGTATTGAAACAATGTTATGTATAAACATGGATTTTATTATAAAAACTAATTTAGAAGGTACTCATAATGTAGGTAGGTAAAGGTAAGCTAACCTATTTATAATAATTCGAGGTAATCACTAATCAATTACATAGTTGGTGGCTTATAATATATTTATATTAGAATGATAAACTATATTGATATTAACTTAAAAATTATAATATTGTTAAATCGTAAAATATTAATATTTAGCTGAATACAAAATATAAATTCCTATAGAAAAGATTAAAGGACTAAATTCTCAAAGGTGATATTGCATTTATATGTTTATATTTATATGTGTAACCATAATATTATATGAGTACAACGATTAAGCATATTATGCTAGAACTGATAGTAGTAAACGGTTTCTTATTTTAAATTGCGTTTGATTACTTAATTTTAATAGTATAGGTATTACCGTATTAGGTATAATTAATATAAAATACTCTTTTAGGATTAAGTTTCGGCTTTTCGTCGCGAGTCCGACCAAATACGATATCATCGTTGCAATTGTTTTCCGTCGTCTGCACGCGACTAAATTCGCATATTTATTTATTTTAGAAATCGCATATAATATTCAAGTACCTATACAACATAAGCCCTTATTTTTACTATTATATATGGTGACGCAACAGGTGCGTACATAAAATATAAATAGTATAGCTACAACTACTAATCGCGTGGCGGCGACCGTGCGACGAATAATAATGATTATTATATTATTATTATTATATTATTAATTCGATAATAATACCAGCTCCCATATAATAATAATAATGTGTAATATATACGCACGATTTCTGTCTCGGGTCGAAATTATTCGACATGGGTAAGACCTATGGGTATACGCTCGTAACACAGTAGTAGCATAGTACGCAATTCTTTTTCGATATACCTACTTATACACGAGTAGTACGTACATAATAATAATAATAATAATATATTATTTATATTATTGTGATTGTACGACTGTACATTATTATATTCAAATATGTTACATACCGTAATATATTTATGACTGGCAGACTACAGCAGTCTATACAACAATCGCATTTCTGTCGAATAATAATAAAGATTTTATTATTATTATTATTATTACATTTGTCACCTTGACTATAATAATATTATAATGCCTATATTGCGGCACGCACGCGTGTTCGTGATTCTTAGCACAAATGTATTAGTGATTTTCGTAACACCTTATTATCTGTATCAAACGACCGTCAGAGCAACGTTGTTTATATAATATAATTTATTATATTGTTATAATCGCCAGACGATAGATCGCCTGCAGGTCTAGGGGCGATATCTCCAAACGATTTTTCACGGTCTTTAAGGACGAGCTTAACGCGGAAGTACCTATATACCCTTAAATAGTTCAATCCTATTATGCGTGTAGACGTATATGTTTTTGATTTTGGAATTTAATTGATGTGAATTGGTCTTCATATAAAGTCTTCCACACCCCACATTATGTACACGCGATGCATTCTATAATTATATATAATAGTATTATACATTATACAGTATACACTATTATACATTATAGTAATAATAGCTATATATATTATTTTTATATAACTAGCATAAACCTCGGTTACCTGAACCATTATCCGACAGTTTTTTACTTATATAAAGACATATAGCATAATAACAATTAACAATACAATATTATACAAAATGTTTGCAGTTATTACAATAAATTATCAATACTAATTTCTTTGACAGGTTTTAGTATTTGTTTGTTGCTCATCTCATCTAGTGAGTACTGTTGAGTAGTGGCTGATGAAGGAATTCGGGTGTGTTATTATGACTTTTGACAATCGCTGTTTGTTAGCATTCAACGATGAGGTGCTTGATGATAAAAATTGTACTCCACAGTCCATAGGTTGCGCATTAAGTTTGGTCTTCTTTGAACACGAGGTAGCCTTGGCCTTGTGTATTAGGTTATATCTGCTATGCCTTATCTCTATAGACGCTCTAGGAT